CGGGGGGCGGGGGGCGGCCCCCCCCCCGGGGGCGGCCGCGGGGATCCTGGCGCTGCTGCTGTTCTGCGCCATCCACCGGGTGGAGGAGGGACACCTGGCCGTGTACTACAGGTACGGGGGAACCCGGGACACCCCTTCTTCCCGCGAGGGCTTCGCTGCTGTGCCAGGGCTGTCGGGCGGCGGCCCCGGGGCTTGTTGGTTTGAGCTGAGTGTGCTCCGGGCTGCGTGGGGCCTTGTTTCCCGGGAGGGACAACCCCACGGAGCAGCACTGCTGGGCTGGGCTGACCTGCTCTGGGGAGAAAGACCTTGGGGTCCTGGTGGGCAGCAGGCTGAGCACGGGCCACCAAAGGGCCCTTGGGGCCAAGAGGGCCGGTGCCGTCCTAGTCTGCGTGAAGAAGAGTGTGGCTAGCAGGTCGAGGGAGGTTCTGCTCCTCCGCTTTGGTGCGGCCGCGTCTGGAACGTTGCGTCCAGTGCTGGGCTCTCCGGGTCATGAGGGACAGGGAACTGCTGGAGAGGAGACAGTAAAGAGCTGTCAAGATAATTAGGGTACTAGAACATCTCTGTTGTGAGGAAAAGCTGAGGGACTTGGTCTTTTTAGTCTAGAGAAGACTGAGGGGGATCTTATCAAGGCTCATAAATCATTCAGGGGTGGGTGTCAGGAGGATGGGACCAGTCTTTTTTCAGTGGTTCCCAGTGACAGGACAAGAGGTAACAGGCACAAGATTGAACACAGGAAGTTCCACCTCAACATGAGGGTGACAGAGCCCTGGGACAGGCTGCCCAGAGAGGCTGTGGAGTCTCCTTCTCTGGAGACATTCCAAATCCCTCTGGATGTTTTCCTGTGGGATCTACTGTAGGTGATCCTGCTCTAGCAGGGGGGTTGGACTGGATGATCTGCAGAGGTCCCTTCCAACCCCCACTCTTCTGGGAGTTTCATCTGGGTCTTGTAGCTGCACTGAACAGCATCTGCAGAGCAACTCCTTGGCAGTCCCCAACAGCAAGTGGTCACACTCGGTGCCACCTCCTGACTGCATTTGGCTTCAAATTGTAATAAATGGAGAAATTCCAAACCAACCCGTCTGCACTTTTTGCAATTTCTGCTGGTTTTTTGCCCCGTCATTTTTACCTTTTGCATTCACCAGCATGGGCCAGTTTTCTCCCTCTTACCTTTTATGAGTGTGCTGTATCTGTGCTGCCCTGCAGGGATCAGTCTCTTAGGGGTCTCTCCTGTCTCCTGTTCTTTAGCCACCTACCCATCCCCACCAAAGACTGCAGGTTCTCTTTGTGCTCTGGGGAGGGGACTGTGTGGAATGCCTTTGGAATTCTGAATTGCTGGATTTTTCCATGGTTGTCGAAGTGTTTAGAGAGGAAAATACATCTTCTTGAAGCTTTATTGTGAGGGTGGTGAGACACAAACAGGTTGCCCAGGGAAGCTGTGGCTGCCCCATCCCTGGCAGTGTTGAAGGGCAGGTTGGATGGGGCTTGGAGCAACCTGGGCTGGTGGGAGGTGTCCCTGCCCATGCAGGGGTTGGATCTAGGTTGATCTTTAAGGTCCCTTCCAACCCAAACCAGTCTGGGATTCTGTGATAAGCTCTCTGCATGTTGCAGTGATGCAAAAATGTAGCATGATCTGCCTGCTTTACAAGTCCAGGGCTGCCAGAACTGATGCACAGGGTTGTTGAGCTGCAGCAGACAAAGGTCATGTACAGTCAGCCCCTTTGTAAAGGAATTGGTGGCTGATTTGGTGCAGTTCAGTAGGATAATTTGTACCACCACAGCTGTGACTCCTGCCAGTTTGAATGCACTTGCTTGCTCTCCAAGCCAGCACTTACTGTTGCCCAGTTGCTTGATCCTTTTCCCTGTTTCTCTTGCTTTCTGTAGGGGTGGTGCTTTGTTAAGCAGCCCAAGTGGACCAGGCTACCACATCATGCTCCCCTTCATTACCACGTTCAAATCCGTGCAGGTTGGTATCTTCTTGCCTTGGAAGAGGGTGAGTGGGAGCAGGTGGCAGGAGGGATATTGCAGGATGGGGGTGACTTGGGCAACTGGTGTTTGCAGAAGGGATCAGCAGCGTCATAGTCCGAGCAGCAGCTGTGGTTCCCTGGTTCTTTCTGCTTTAGGTATACCCTTTTGGTGGCATCTCCGCAACATGCATGTGTGCTGCTTGGGGCAGGAGATGCTGTGCTCTGGCTCTGCTTGTGGCTTCAGGAGAGCTGCAGGTCTTACAGCTGCAGGACCTGAGAGCAGGGAGGTGAGCACAGCTGCCTGTCTGTCTCCCAGAAGACAAGAGGAAAAGAAGTCCGTCTTCTCTGGCCCAGGTTGCCCAGAGAAGCTGTGGCTGCCCCATCCCTGAAAGTGTTGAAGGGCAGGTTGGATGGGGCTTGGAGAAGCCTGTTCTTGTGGGAGGTGTCCCTGCCCATACTGGGGGTGGAACTAGATGATCCTTAAGGTCCCTTCCAAACCAAACCATTCCATGATTTTGTGGTTCTCCCCACACCTGCAAAAGTCAGGAGGGAGGCAGAGGACATCTTTTTGGCTCCATGTTCCTGTATCATGGTATGAGGGTCTAGGCACAGGGTGATCATCCTGGAGAATGGAGAGGTTTGGTCAACACTGGTTGTCTTCTTATTTCAGACTACGTTGCAGACTGATGAAGTGAAAAATGTGCCTTGTGGGACAAGGTATGTTCTTCATTTTTCTTCTGATGATGGACAGATGCACTCTTGTCATGTAGTCATGTGCAGTGCTGTGACAGAGGGTGAAGAGGAGAGGCACATACTCTAAAATTAGCCCCCAACATAGACGCATGCATCACACTTGTACACAGGAGGTGTGGGAGTGCTCCTGCTTTCCATGGAATTGATCATCTGAAGGTTTTTGCTTTTCTAGTGATAGTCTCTTGATTTTTCTCCCCTTCTTCCATTGCTTGTGCTTTGGGCTGACCTCTGCTGGGGGGAATTTCGAGCCTGAATTGTGGCTAATACAGGTGTTGACCCCAGCAGTGGGTAAAGGGAAATAGTGGATGGGAATCCTTCTAGTGGGAGATGGGTCTTTTCAAAACAGAGGAGTCTCCTGGAATCATTTGGTCATTTTTGGAGTTGACATTTTTCCTAAGATAGAGTGAGACAGAATAAAGAAGAAGCCCATGCATGGGTGGCACTTGCCTGCTCCATAATTAAGATGATCCTTTTATCAGCACAGATGTGTATAGTTCTAACAAGGAGAGCAGTAGCAGAAGGAGAGGATAATTGAGCTGGGCTGCATATCTCATGGTGTTTGTTCCTTCACAACGTAAAATCTGTTTCTTCAGGATCAAAATAAACCTAGTGATTCTCCTTGTCTTTATCTTCAGGACCCTCAGTATTTCTGTTTAAAAAAAATAAGTCAGAATTACTTGAGTGATGACATGTAATGAAATTAGAAGCTGAATATTAGTGGCAACACGAATAAGGCAGTGAATTTTTAGCTGATTTAGCCCTTAGAACTGAATTGAGCTCTTAGAATTACTCATATAAGAAATGATCAGACATGTCTTGATCTTAAATACTACCACAAAGATCTTTTGGACCCTGGCTGGTTTCAGTTCTAGATCTCAAACCTCTTCCAGGAGTGTCTGGAGGTCACAGCAGTGCTCAGTGCTGCAGCTATGCCTTTGTGGTTGGGTGAAGAGTTTTAGGTCAAGCAAACAGTCATTACAGGAACATGGGATAAGACTCCTGATGTTCCAGGTTCATATCTTTTAAATGGCATAGGTAAAAATAAGTGAGCAGAGTATACAGCAACTGGTAGCTCTTCAGTAGCATGATGAGGAGCAATACTTCACCTGCAGCAAGTTGTAAACGTCTCTGGGCCAGGAATGGTGTCCTGCTCTCCAGCACACCTTTTTCAGCAGATCAAGCAAAGCTTTCTGCTGAAGCTTCACCAATATAGATCAGGGGTGCTAGAAAGCAGCCCCATGGAGAAGGACCTTGGAGTCCTGGTGGACAACAGGTTATCCATGGGACAGCAATGTGCCCTTGTGACCAAGAGAGCCAGTAGTATCTTGGGATGTATTAAGAACAGTGTAGCCAGCAGGTCAAGGGAGGTTCTCCTCCCCCTCTACTCTGCCCTCATAAGACCACATCTGGAGTGTTGTGTCCAGTTCTGGGCTCCCCAGTTCAAGAGGGACAGGGATCTACTGGAAAGAGTCCAACAGAGGCTACGAGGATGATGAAGGGACTGGAACATCTGCCTGATGAGGAAAGACTGAGAGACCTGGGGCTGTTCAGTCGTGAGAAGACTGAGGGGGGACCTGATGAATGTCTATAAATAGCTGCAGGGTGGGTGTCAGGAATGGGCCAGTCTCTGTTCAGTGGTGCCTGTGACAGGACGAGGGGAAACAGCCCCAAGTGACAACACAGGAATTTCCACCTCAACATGAGGAGAAACTTCTTCGCTGTGAGGGTGATAGAGCCCTGGGACAGGCTGCCCAGAGAGGTTGTGGAGGCTCCTTCTCTGGAGACTTTCAAGCCCCATCTGGACACGTTCCTGTGTGAGCTGCCCTGGGTGCTCCTGCTGCAGCAGGGGGGTTGGGCCGGATGATCTTCAGAGGTCCCTTCCTACCCCTGTGTTTCTATGCCATACTAATACAGCCTGAATGAAACCATGCTGCTTTGACCCTGCTTGAGCAGGGAGGTGGAACAAGGTGACCCCCAGAGGTCCCTGCCAGGCTCCACCATTCTGTGTGTCTGTGATTTAGGAGCTAAATATTCTGCTTAATTCAGTAGAGTTGGTTCATTCAGTTCCTGTTACATTTCAGCAGGTTTCAGATGGGCAGTACAGGTGGTTGGGAAGTTACAGGTAATAAACATGCTTTAAAACACCAAACAGTTGGTGAAGCAATTCTTGGTTAATAATTAAATACACTTCAGAGCAAAGGTCCATTTTTAAGGTGTTGCTGCAGGAGCCTTTAGATTTGCTGTGTTTGGAATCAAAGTCTGCAGCTGCTCCCATGCCAAAGCTTTGGATCCACATTTCTGTAACAAAACGTTATCTTATAAAATAATAGATGGATCAAATGTGACATTTCAATGTTCTGTTTTGAAGTTGATTACAAGAAGAGATCCTGAACAGTTTAAATGTCTGTAAATTTGTGTTAAACCACCAGATTTTAAGGACTGAGTTTCTCTTCCACCGTATCCATGTTCCTGTTTCCTCATCTACATGAGGAAGCTTCTGAATGGCTGCGTGGGTGTCCAAGCCCCAATTTCTTCCATCCTTACCCCCTTTATACTCAACAGCATGAAGTGAATACATTAAATACAGGTTTTAAAATACTTTGGCACCAGATGACTCGTTTTCATAAAACAGCTGTCACTCCAGAGACAAAAACCATCTCACTGCAGCAGCTACAATTTGTACCTCCTCTATGCTGTGGATTGTCTCAGGTGTCGGCAATTTCTGGCTTTCCCCAACAAGAAAATGTCTGCAGAGTTTCCTGGAAAGTTTAGCAGTTTCTTCCTGGAAGGTCTGCTGGGCTCCAAAACCCAATAGAAAAATCAGTTCAACAAACTAGTTTTAGGAGAGTGAAGTAATCCAAAGGACTGGCTGAAATAATTTATTGAGCATGAATATACTCACAAATATATTCACCATGGAGTTCAAGAAATGGATTTTTTAAATGGTGTCATGCAAATATAATGAAAGAATTACGTAAGGAGCATTTTTCTTATCAACTTAGACTCATGCTAAATATTGATAAAAATGCTAAATAATGCTAAATAGAAATTTTTAGAATGGTGAGAAACAGTCAATAGCCAGGAGACTGAGCAGTAATGTTGCTTATTGCCATTTGCAAAGGTGTGAGAGTTGTCTGGTGCTGGAGATGGCTGGCAGATGGAGAGCTGGAGGAATGCTGGCCTGGGACAGAGCCAGCCACAGGGAAAAATGGGTCATGAATACTGCAACTGGATGTATTGCATCAATCCCTGTAGCTCCAGACACACCAGGTCTGACCTTTAGGTCCTATTTTTCCACGCTCTGATTGCCTAACCTGCTCTGATCTTGTTTGTGAGCAGCTCTAGCAATGACTGTTAACCTTTTGTCTTTTTTTATAGCCCCTTTTTCCCTTGTCTTCTGGCCCTTCATAAGCCAAAGCCTGAAATATAGGTATATTATATATTAATATATAGGTATTTTACTGGGGGTAGTGGAACAATTATAGTGCAGAACAAGTGAGATGGAGAACACTGGGAAGTAGATCTCCTTAGTAACAAATAGCTCCAGAGAAGAGCTACAGAGCTGGTGGAAGGTGTGGTCATTGCTCTCTACAACTTCCTGAAAGGAGGTTTTAGGGAGGTGGGGCTTGGCCTCTTCTCCCGAGTGAATAATGACAGGACCAGAGGAAATGGCCTGAAGCTGCTCCAGGGGACATTTAGACTGGATATTAAGAAGAATTTCTTTACCCAAAGAGTGGTTGGACACTGGAAGGGGCTTCCCAGGAAGATGGTGGAGTCACCATCCCTGGAAGTGTTTAAAATAAACGTAGATGTGGTGCTTAGGGTTATGATTTAAGCACTGAATGGGTAGATTAGGTTATGGTAGGGGGATTTTGGTTATGGTTGGACTTGATGATCTTCAAGGTCCTTTCCAACCAGGATGATTCAGTGAAATCTCTCTTTTGCTGGCTTGTCCCTTCCAGCAGGCAAGTTCTGTCCATCACTGATCGTTTTGCCTTGTAGGTTGCTAAGAAACAAGTGGGGCCAGAGACACCTTTTTCAAAAGAGCCCAGACATGGGCAAGCTTAGGTGAGGTTTCTGCAGACTTTGCTTTCAACTGCCAGAGATGAAGATCTGCCAAATAAGAAACTGAGCCTGTCATGGAGGCCACACTGGAGTTCAGACACCAGAGAGGCTCAGGTTGGAAATGTGTGAGGTCTATATCCAGAAAGATACAGAACCAATCTCGATGATGGCAGGAATAGGTGCATGAGGGTCCCTTGTGGCAAGGCTGCCTCAGAAGAGGGGTCAGCAGCTCCTCACAGCACCCAGTGGAGTTAGATTCTGGAGAGCACATGGCTCTGAGCAGCAGCAGCAAGGAAGATGGTGCAGTAAAAAGGAGCTGAGCTTCTGGTTCTCCTGGCTTTTCTAGAGCATGGTGGGAAGTGGGAGGGAATCCTGACCACCCCTGTTCTGACCCTCCTGGGTCTTTCAGGGTCCTAAAGACCCTCTCTCTAGTTTCTCTTACAGATGTCAAAAACTTGCCAGGGCCACTTAAACCATAAGTGGTGTGCTTATGTGTATCAGATGTCTCCAAGCAATTGCTGCTGAAGCTTCTTGTTTGCCATGTAGCTTTGCCCTGAGGAGAAAATTGCTTTAAAAATAAGCTGGAGAGAGACTTGTAAACTCTAAAATTCACAGAATCATAGAATGGTTTGGGTTGGAAGGAACCTTAAAGGTCATCTAGATCCAACTCCCTGCATGGGCAGGGACACCTCCCACCAGCTGAGGTGCCTCCAAGCCCCATCCAACCTGCCCTTCAACACTGCCAGGGATGGGGCAGCCACAGCTTCTCTGGACAACCTGGGCCAGGGTCTCATCATCCTCAGAGTGAAAAATTTCCTCCTCATGTCTCACTTAAATCTCCACTCTTCCCCCTTGTCTTCTCACTACACACCCTTGTCCAAAGTCCCCAGCTTTCCTGGAGCCCCTTCAGGCACTGGAAGGTGCTCCTAGAGCCTTCTCTTGTCGAGGCTGAACAGCCCCAACTGTCTCAGCCTGTCTCCAGCTCTGCTGCTGCAGCCCTCTGAGCATCTTCATGGCCTCTGGAATTGCTCCAGGAGCTCCACGTCATTCTTGTGTTGGGTGCTCCAGAACTGGACACAGTAAAAATGAAGGTTTTTTCCTTCACTGTGTAGTTGATGCTTTTGGTGCTACAGTTCCCTAGGGGTGAGCACGATCTGCTGAAAGCCTCAGTAAGAGCAGAGGCTGGGATCAAGAAGCCTCTCATTCTCCCTTTTCTCTGGCTGATCCTTTGAAAAGAGGGTTGCCTCCAGGCCTCTTGTGGTGAGGTGTCTGGAGCTTCCCACCACCGCACGTGCCTGGGCACACGTGCAGAATTAAGAATTAAAGAGGGGAAAATATTGCTTTGCTTTAAATATAGTCCACTGTTACCAGCTGCAGTAGTAATTCATTTATGTTCTTTCTTGCTTGCAGTGGTGGTGTTATGATCTACATTGACCGAATAGAAGTTGTGAATAAGTTGGCACCATATGCAGGTATGTCCATCCTGTTCCAACAAGTGTCTCTATGACTGGCTTCACTCCTCCTGGAGCCTCTCTGTCTTGGTTTGCAAGGCTTCCATTTTCTATGTCTCAGCGTCCTTATGGTTCCTAGCACTGTAGCTCTTGTTTCACGCAGGTGTCTGTGAGCTCTCCAAAGAGCATCAGGTTTGCAGAGATGAAAAGAAAGCCTGGGATTTTTCTCCCCTGCATGGTTAGAAATGTGGCTGGTGCTCAAGCAGTCATGTTTCTTGAAGAGAAGACCACCTGTCATAGCTAAAGACATGGGAGAGAGGCCACAGGTTCTTGCCAGCTCAGCTCCTGGGAGACGTCCAAAGGCAAAGCCTATGTAGAGCCTCATACCTCCTTATTTCACCAGCTGCCAAACCAAAGACCCACATAGCTACTTTTTTAGCAGGGCTTAATGAAGATGCAGGTGTGACTGAGGCAGTGAAGGGTGAATTAATGTTGTAATTGTGGGAATGAGTCTTGTTTTCACTTTACAGTGGTGTCTGCTCCCATGGACACATACCCTGGGCAGGCATTGCAATCCCAGCAGCACTGGTGGAAAGGACCTCTGCAAGTTTCTCATGACTTCCCCGGGCAGGGCATCTGTGGCTTTGTCCAGTCAAGTCTTGAAGCCTCCGAAGGGTGGAGCTGCCACACCTGCCTGTCCCAGTGCTGCGCTCCCCTCCCTATAGCCTAATAACTGTGTTCTGTGGTTGTGGTGCTGCAGAACATCTCATGGTGACATTTGATGATCCTCTTGCTTCCTTAGTGTATGACATTGTGAGAAACTATACTGCTGACTACGATAAGACCTTGATCTTCAATAAAATTCACCATGAACTGAATCAGTTCTGCAGTGCCCACACCCTGCAGGAGGTGTACATCGAGCTGTTTGGTGAGTGGGTGTGGTTGGGGCATCTCCCTCTTCTGCTGTAGAATGTGTTACAGCTTCTGTGTGAAGGTGGTGAGATGCTGGAACAGGTTGCCCAGAGAAGCTGTGGCTGCCCCATCCCTGGAAGTGTTGAAGGGCAGGTTGGATGAGGCTTGGAGCAGCCTGGGCTGGTGGGAGGTGTCCCTGCCCATGCAGGGGGTTGGATCTAGGTTGGTCCCTTCCCACCCAAACCAGTCTGGTATTCTATGACTCTGCTGGAGGTGCAATCTAGAATCCAGCTCATCATATATCCATACATCACTTCCCATGTAACTTGAACAATTTGCATTTCTTTGATTTTCAACATCTGCACATGGGAATTTTATTTCAGTCTTTTTGCACCTAGGAATGAATTCTGGGGACACCCAGTATTCATTTTGCTCTTGTAGTCACATACGTTGCCTTCCCTAATAGGATTGTGTCATATCTACTTCTACTTTAGGCCCCTGTTGCTAAATGGCCTTTTTTTTTTTACTTGAGAAGTTCCTGCGGGCTGCTCCAGCAGGTGGGAGCTGGAAGGGACAGGCTGTCAGTCCATTGCAGTGCTCTGTTTTTTTCACAGGGAGGTAGCAGTAGCTCAGGAATTAGCAAATTTAATGTTCGCCCCAGCAAAGACTTGACAGCATCAAGTTCCTTCTGGAGTGGCAGTGCAGGGGAAAATACGTTCATGGAAAACTGTTTCAGAGTTTTAATATTAAGAGTCTGTCAGTCTTTGAATGGTGTACTCAGACTTGCCAAGTATCAGTAGTCAGGGAGGAGTTTCCTGGTAGTAAATGCAGCCGAATCTCTTTGTAACTGGCCATTTCTGTTGAAAGATCTTCCTGGAGAGGTATTGGGAGGGAAACAATGTACTCAGTGATCTCACAAAGCACCTCTGTCTTACACCATAGAGATACTTGTTCTTCAAGCCAGCTGGCTCTGCCACACAAGCTGTAGGAGAAATGATGCTAAGCTAACTGGTCTCTCTTTTGTCCTCCAACCACAGATCAGATAGATGAGAATCTGAAGCTGGCCCTGCAGAAGGATCTCAATGTCATGGCACCAGGTCTCACTATCCAGGTAGGTTCATTTCCTATTAAAGATGATTCTTTTCCCACCTCAGATTTGCTCACCTTTTGATGAATTGATGAGGTATCTTGCTTTGGTTTTCCAAATAGTTGAAATAGTTGAGCCTTGAGTTGAGGTTCATCAGGTGAAGACTGTCCATGTGACAGTGACTACTCCTAGACACTAGTTGGATGTTAGAAGACCTGCAGGTTAGGGAAAAGGACCTTTCATGCCACAGGACTGCAGGTATTTGACTTAATTTGCAAAGAGCAAGAAAATCTTTTTCTTAAAACTGCCTTCTGCTTTGTGGCTCCTTTATTCTTGGCTTGCTCTGTTTGGATGAGGGTGGCCCACAGGCAGTGTCTCATTACAGAGAAGCTGAGGTGGCACCACTTTTCCAAATATCCAGATTAACTCGTGCTGTGCATCACAGAGAGATTTCCTACAAAAGTTCATCATTGATAAAAATCATCCTCATAACATGATGACCCTTTTTGATCGCAGGGTATGGAAGAGCATAAGCAAAGCTCACAGCTCTCTGCTGAGAGATGGGAACTGCAGAGCTGAATCTGATCTTCAGCACACACTGTGCCATCTCAGTTTGGCTTGCCAAACCCTCCCTGTTGGTTGGAAGTTGAAGGCTGTCTTTCCTGTATCAGCCCTGACTGAGCTCACCAGACCAGCAGTTTGAAGAGGTCCCACAACTTGTGGTAAAAGTGGTTCCTCTCTAGGAGAAAGTGTGATCCTGCCCTTGTGTTCCTGTTGGTCTCTCTCAAAACAGAGCTGCACCCATATCTCTTGTAAAATTGTCCCTCAGTATACAACTCTGCCATGTTGCTGTGTCCCCTGTCAGGAGATACCCTGCTCCTTCAGTGAAGACCTCGGGTTCCTTTAAACTCTCCTCATGCAGCTGTGTAACTTACCTGTACCTAGAATGTAATTGTTTTGTGGCCTCTAAGGGAAATAGTTCTGGATTTGGGCAAGATGTTCTCCTCTTGAAGAGCATCCCTGAGTACTTCAGAGATCATTTTTGTTTTTTAAAGGAGTGACACAGGAAACAACTCAATTATTGAAAAGATGCTGTTAGAGGTAATTTACAGCATTTACTTCTAAGCTTATTAAAACTATTTATTGTATATGAAACCTTCACAAGTCCTCCAAGTTGCTCAGTGCAAAACTTCCTTTCTTAACTGGAATGGGTGACCAACAGCCTGAAGAGAAGTGGAGGCCAGTGGATGGTAAGAGGTGCCTAGTGACAGTGTCGTAGTGAGGAGGCGTCTGCACTTCCCTGGGGAAAGCAGCACACCCTGGGGCTTGTCTCAGGTGGCTGGACAGAAGCACACATCCTGGGAAACAAACCTGAGGCACTGGGGCCTGGTGGGACAGCTGATGGGAGGGCAGTGCTGCTGTGGGTGGGTACAGGCTCTCTGGGGAGGATGAAATGAGGTGAGGCAGCAGGGTTATGATGCCTTCAGAGGACTGTCCCTAATCATGTGGAGCTTCACTTTGGGGTGCTTGATGGACAGCTCAGGTAAGAGCCAATCTAAGTAAGAATGGGACCAATGTGGAGGACCACATGGTCCTTGGCTGTTGCAGATCACCCAGTTAGTACCATGAAGTAGGTAAAGCTGCCTGTAGAAGACTAGAGGAAGCCTCACAATCAGAGCCCCTAGTACTCTGACCACCTCAGAGTCTTCTGGAAGGGCAGCAGGGCTGGGTGCAAGCTGTGCTGGATGCTTCTGAAGGCTGTTGAACACAGGTTTTGGCACTGGTGAGCAGACCTGACCGGGGAAGATGCTCTTCTGCACCTTTTAGAAACAAGGAAGAAATGGTTGAGAAGCAAAGTCTGGTAGCAGTGAGGATGAACAGGGACCTCCTGACTGAGCTGAAGAGCAAAAAGAAAACTCAGAAAAGTTAGAGTAGAAATAGATGAGCAGGGAGGAATAAAGTGAGTTGAGCTGAGAGCAGGGTGACAGGAGAACCAAAGCTCAGCTGGGCTTTGACCTCATGATAGCTGTGCAGGGTATCACCAGGGGCTTCTGAGGTGCATCCACAGCAAAGAGAAGGCCAAGGAAGCCATGAGGACACAATGGAAATACTAAAGTTCTCAACACCTCCATTGACTTCTTTCTGGCAAGGTCTGCCCTGGGGCCTCTCGGTTTCTCAACCTAGCATCAGAGTGCTGAGGTGAAATGTGGAGGACATGGTGGAGGACAACTGTGCAGATGGACACACCCAAATCTTTGGATCAGCTGGAATGCATCACAGGGTGCTGAGTTGGTGTCCTGCACCATCATGAAGCTGCTCTCTTTATCTCTGGAAGATGGCAGTAGTCAAGGGAGGTCTCTAAAAACTGGGAATAGGCAAATATCACACCCATGTGCAAGGTGGAGGATCTCCAGGAGAGGAGAAGTCCCAGACCATCAGCCTGTTCCCATGCTCTGCAGCACTTACTTTGCCATCTCAGTGGCTTTCAACTGTACTTCTCACTTGGTTGGAATTCCTACGAGTGGCTTCCTCACAATGGGTACAGTATCCAGATACAGCCTTCCTGGTGCAAAGTCGAGGGGCGTAAAAATTGCCTTCAACCTCCTGCTGAGTTTGGACAATGTAGTTAAGGATGGATCTGGGCTTTGTGGCCACAGGGAGAAGGTGCTGTCATACAGTCAGCTTTTCCTTTGAGGCCTTCATGCTGTTTGCAAAGCTGTTGCTCAGCCAGTTGCTCCCAACAGGTTCCCAATGCCTTGACATTTGATTGTTAACATTTACAGTGTACAGTGGTGTTTCCATCTAGTAGATTGACGTCAGCTTCACCTTTAAATAGATTGAACCATTGGTTTGAAAAAGAAGCAGCTAGTGCAGGTTCTCAAAGTGGTGGCAGCTTTTCTGTTGGCAGAGGAATCTTTGCCTGTGTTGGAAGAGGTTCTGGAAATCAGTCTTCAAGGCAGGGGTCATTATGGAGGTAGAAAGACCATCCCCTTGACTCTGCAGTGGCTGGTGAGGCAAGCTTGCTGCCTTTTGAGGGACTTGGGAAGGCTTTGTGCCTGGTAGGACCTTAGGAAATTCCTTGCACTGCAGAATGTTCTTGTCCATTGTTCCATAAATCTGCTCTCTATGTTCAGAGTAGCAGCAGAATTGGGGTGTTCAGCCTGGAGAAGAGAAGGCTTCCAGTGCCTGAAGGGGCTCCAGGAAAGCTGAGGAGGGGCTTTGGACAAGGGCAGGGAGTGAGAGGACAAGGGTTGATGGCTTTCAACTGGAAGAGAGAAGATTTAGGCTAGACACGAGGAAGAAAATCTTCACTGTGGAGGTGATGAGACACTGGCCCAGGTTGCCCAGAGAAGCTGTGGCTGCCCCATAGAATCACAGAATCATAGAATGGTTAAGGTTGGGAGGGACCTTAAAGATCATCAGGACCCAACTCTCTGGGTGAGGCCATCCAGCCAATTACTGATCCACTGAATGGTCCATCTGTCCAATCCATGCCTTGTCAGTCTAGACACCAGGATGTCATGTGGGACAGTGTCAGTGTCAGATGCCTTGCACAAACCCAGATGGATGTCATCTGTTGCTCTGCCATTATCCAGCATTTCCGTAGCCTTGTCATAGAAGGCCACCCAAGTAGTCAGGCATGATCTGCCCTTAGTGAAGCCATGTTGGCTGTCACCAATCACCTTCTTTTCCATGTGCCTCAGTAGAGTTTCCAGGAGGATCTGCTCCATGATCTTGCTGGGCACAGAGGTGAGACTGACTGGCCTGTAGTTCCCAGTTCTTCCTTTCCCCCCTTTTTAAAAACAGGGGCTGTGGGACTTTTTCTCCAATCAGTGGGAACCTCACCAGACCACCAGGACCTCTCAAGTAGGATGGACAGAGGCTCAGCAGCTGCATCCCCCACTCCCTCAGGACCTGTGGTTGGACCCCATCAGGTTCCACAGACTTCTGCACCTTCAGGTTCTTTAGATGGTCATGAACCTGTTTTTCTCCTACAGTGGGGGGTGCTTCATTCGCCCAGTCCCTGCTTTCACATGCTGTGGCCTTTGTGATGAGGTTGGAGCACTTGCCAGAGAAGTCTGATGCCAAGAATTCCTTGCGAACCTCAGCCTTCTCAGTATCCTGAGCAGCTAGGTCTCCTGTTTCCTTCAGGAGAGGGCCTACATTTTCCTTGCTTGTCCTTTTATCCCCAACATACCTACAGAAGCTTTTCTTTTTGCTCTTTCCATCCCTGCTGAAATTTCATTCCATCTGGGATTTGACTTTCCTGACCTGATCCCTAGCTGCACAACCTCTTTGTAAACCTCAGGCAGGTTGGATGGGTCTTGGAGCAACCTGGTCTAGTGGGAGGTGTCCCCACCCATGCAGGGAGGTTGGAACTAGATGGTATTTAAGGCTCCTTCCAACCCAAACCAGTGTAGATTCTGTGGTTCTGTGGTGTTTCACAGTCCTACCCAGAGCAGCTTGGAGGTTGTGGCATGTCTGTGGGCTGTGGTGTTAGTGTCACAATGCACATCACCCTTGGTGGTCTGCAGTTGCATCCAACAGCAGTTCCCATGTCCCACCCATGCTCTGCTGCTCTCCCCTATCCTCACTGCTGTGTCTCTCATTGTGTGGTGGCTTTTGCAAGCTTTTCTCCTGGAAATCCCATTTCTGAGCTCCTATCCCTGCCTCTGGTCTTGCTCTTGCAGTTTGATTTCATCAGCTTGGTGAGCCCCATTCTTGAGCAGTACTTTGGGAAGTGTTGTTTGGTGATGTTTTAATAGTCCTTGGGGTGGAGAATTAAGCTGCTTGTAACCAAGGTGGTGGACCTCTTCTGCCATCTAGTCTACAGGCCTTACTTGGTCACTGAGGTGCCATAAAAGGTTCAAATACAGAAAACACAAATGTAAGGCACCTCTGTGAGCATGACTGTGCTTAGCTGTGTGGCACAGGAGGATCAGGAGCCATTATGTGTGGGTTTGGGTCAATGTGGAGATGTCCAGAGCACCACAGCATGTTTGACAAAGATGTTTCTATGCAGCTCACATTAAAATGTTTAATCAGGTGCACTCCCTTTTTGTTTTCCCACAGGCTGTCCGTGTGACCAAACCCAAAATCCCAGAAGCTATCCGAAGGAATTTTGAGCTCATGTGAGTGGCTGAACATGAAATTGTATTAATTGTATTTTTTGAGGGTCCAGTACAGACATAATGCCCTTAGAAAGCTCTTCCTGGTGCTCAGAAGGTGAGAGGTGGGCTCTGGTCAGTGTGTGCTTGGCCAGGTGCACTTGTGCTTTCTGTTGCTCCATTTCCATAGCTCTTGACCTTGAAGCCTTTGACCCTGTCACAAAGGTGGTTGTTAGTCTGGATGAAGGCTACATTCCTGC